GCCGTCAATCAAATATAATGATTTTTTGCTGAATTTTTATCAAATTGTCTGATTGGCATCAATCAGATGTGCCGATTTATAATGTTAGTCAATTTTGGTCTGATTTTTGGCCGATTTTCCATATGTCCCGATTTTTTTAATTTCGACCAGTGAGATGATCGGCAAATATAGGCAAATATCAAATTATTGAAAATTTCGGTTTAAGGTTAACTTTGACAATATAATTTTTTTTATTTTTCATAAATTATACTACTAAAAAGACATTAGTATAGTTTGGCTAAGCATTTTATGGCTTTAACCATAGCTTCAAAATTAATGTGACATGATATATTATATGATCGACAAATGATCGGCAAAGTGATAAAAGCATGTCCGCTATGCTGCCGCCTTACTTGTCTACTTTGCAACCAAAATCATTAGGTTTAGATCATGGCAGTGAGCTAGACTATTGATACAGTGCATACAAGCAAGCTGGAGGAGGCTGTGCTTACATAATTATTATATTTTTTTTCTGGTGCGATAAATATTCAGGGTAGGTCATCTCCCGGCAGATCAACAGATTAAGGAGTTTTTTTTTTCTGGCGCGATAAATATTCAGTTATTTTTTTATTCAGGCACATTGCCAATCAGATTAATTGAATCAGCTAAGTTAGTTGGTAATGGCTAAATCAAGAAATAATCAGCGCAAAACAATGAATAAGTTTACTACTAACCTCATGCAGTATATACCGTTATGCAATCTGAACACACATATGATAGGGCAACCAGGTTTTATCACTGTCAAAAATAAAAGACAGGATAGGGTTGTAGGTGTGTTTGATTATCCTGAGCTGTGTGAATATTTGGGAGTCCAATTCTCGGGCAGTGTTAGTCGCAATTCATTTATTAACTAATCATTTTTTCCGATTGAAAAAAAATCTTTGAACCATATAAAATGTATATTACTTGATCAGCTTACACCAGAATTAATACAAAGAATTTGCTGATACAGGATCTTTATAATTGTCATAGCATAAATTATACATGGAAAAAAGAAGTAATTCTCGAACTGTTTAGAAGATCCGGAGGGGAGCATCTTAAATATTGGAAACTTATATATTCTATAAGCTGTATTATCAGCCTGAAGGTTATTATCGAACTGGCTAAAAAATGTAGAAAATTTGTAAGGAGATCGGATATAAGCTTACTCTTGCAGAGGGCTAAAGAAACAGGCCATATATCAGATACACAAGAAGTTTACAGTATATTCCGATTAATGATAGCCCGGAGCCAGCTCAGACAAATTTCTGCGCAATGATGTAATGGCGATTAGGTCTGTGCGACATAAAAACATATATTAAACACCGATAAAATACACGTTAACCAATTTTACAATGAATAAATGCAATGTCTGCCAGAAACCTTGCAAGGACCGATGTTCGAGATGCCAACAAACATATTACTGTTCTAAGGCATGCCAAAAACAAGACTATAAAGATCACAAGGAAATATGCGTAACGCAGCAACCAGCTGTTAAAGCCATTGTACCTAATTTCAAACGAGATTATGCTGAAAAATATCAGCGTGAAAAAAACCAAATCCAACTCCTTGCGCATGTGCAAGGAAACCTACAATATAATGAAGATTCCATAGATACGATTTTACAATTCAAAGACAACAAAATAGGGAGATGGCGTTCATGGTCAAAGGAACTTTCAGATTTTCTCTCATCCCCCAGGCAAATTGGCGACATTTTTGCTAGAACAACAGCTATACCATATTTTTCGGATACAGGTTCATGTGCTTTGAGCTTTAGTAATACGCATAAGCAAAGCCTATCACTTAATCAAGGTAAAGTTCATGTTGCTGTCGGATTTGTAGATTTAGATTTACTTTTACAAGCTACAATTGTACAAAATGAGAATTCAACGAAACAGCCAAACAAATTTATTGGTTATGAAGGATCTGTTTATGCGGTTGCAAAGACCAATGTGATTGTGGAAATGATGATGAGAAAGGCACCAGTTCGGTCAATCATAGAAGTTTGGCTTTCTACTGTTTGGACAGTTGAAACTTTAAATTACTTTAAGATTGCTGCCAAGAATGTCTTGCAATTTGAAAATGCACCGAATGACAAACCACCAAACCCTACTAAAAAAGAGCTTCACCCGGAAGTTAGATCGTTGATTTCTCACTGGTGTCAGTCAGTTAGCTCGCCGAAATCCCGGAAAAATGCACATGATCTTTGGGCAAGTACTTTTGATAAAACAGACAGCATATTTGCTATTGTTCCAAATCTTGTTGAACCGCGAGATCGTGTACAAGTCGCGCGTCATATCCTTACTGGTGAGTTTCCACTCATGAATGACCAACAACCAAAAAATCTAGTTGCAAGTATTACGATGTTTAACTGCAATGATGGGATTTCACCACACTCGGCAAGCGAATTTATGCTTCATATGATGCCAGTGAATGCTATTCTACCTAAATATCAACGTGAAAATACTAGTTTTTTAGATGCACTTTGCAATTTCCTTGAAGATGCAATTGCAAAAGTTTGCACTTGGTTATCACCGCCTATAGAAATGATGGAAATCTACCTGCATTTTCAAATGGTTAGTGATGATTCCGAGTTGTTAAATTCAATTAAGCAATTGAATGCATCAACAATGTCTTGGAGTAATATTTGCGATTTTTTTCGTGCACGCGATTTTCACAAATTGATTAAAGCTTGTTCAGGAAGCAATACGGTTCACGTAATGTCATCAATGAATTGGGTAACAGAAGTCTTTGGTGGACATATCGCAGACTATGATGATAGTAGAGTTCGTCGCAAGATTTTGATTGATGCTCGAAAGATGATTCTGGAATCTGGACCGGCTATTGATCCATCTGGGTATTTCCGATATGACCAGATTTTTAAGCACCCGCATAATATTTCTAATGTGTTTTTGGCGAGGAGAGTAAAAGATAATTGGCAGAATCATTTTTTCAGAGGGCAGGACGTAGATAATGTTGATGTTTCATTCTCGCAATATGCTCATACACATCGAGTGCATGAGCTATTAAATATTTCTTTTAGGTATAACCACCTTACATGATGCTATATTAATTAATTTATTTATTGTTGATTGACTACACCAAGAAATATCAAGATAGTAAACTAACTGTACATGTATTTTAATAAACATATGATAATTTCATTTTTTAAATCGTTCGCATATTGCATGACATCGGGGTGTCACACATAAAAATTGTGATTTTCTGCGCAGAGTCTGTGATCACCTGAAACTCATTCACCAGCAATTCCTCACAGCATGCACAGAAAAAACCACACACAAAATGGCTTTGAGGAAGTATAATGATGCACTACATTAAAAAATGGCAAACTTCAATTGAGTGAAAGAACAAGATTTGGGGTTGCTTGATGAAAATTTCCACATTTATGGTAAGAAAGATTGCTTTTACACTCTCAAAGCAAAGCTATACCTTGTTGATGGAAAAAAATTCTTCGAAGCACTTTTAGCAGGAATTAAACTAGAGAGAAATTAAACTAAGGCTGGCCAGGGAGGAATTAATCCAGAGCACAGGCGCAGTTGCGGATAAAATCCATCCCTCCGGGCGGTTTCATCTTAAATCTAACTAAGGATGAAAAATGGCCGAAATCTTAAAACAAAGTTTGATATAATGACTTTTACCACCAGAAATGTAATCTGATAAACTTTTTGCCGACGCTAAAATGGATTAACCCTTTATAGCTTTAGTACTATACCATCTCTTTCTGTGTAATTTTGAATGACCATGTCTAGACTCATCAGAGGTATTTTCTTGCACGTGAATTTCAAAACATATATTAATAGAGCATTACTATGATGCTATCGGGCTTTTTTTTTTTGTGTTAAATATAATAAATTGATCGCCATAACTTTCAATAAGATTTCAAATAAAAAGAATTTGCTGTCTACTGCGCTAGATGATTCATTCTTCTGCGCAATTTTGACGAGCCCGGACACTGTGTCCAGACTACCATCAGAAAAGATAGGTATTCCTTTCACGTGTATTTTATTTCCTGCTTATCCGGTTAAAGAAAAAATCTGAAACCTGATTAGCCAATCATCTCGTGATTTTGAGAAACAACTTGACGTCATGATAGTGCCACATGGAACGATATGATATACGTCATAATCCCCTGTTAATCACAAGAGATTCACAAACTGATTATATGCATGTAAATATAAAATTAGCATAGCCTGAGAAGATATAATCATATATAAACCAATATTTTATTATAATATACAAGATGGATTTAAATAGTAATGCATACTTTAAGATTTCTTCATCTGATTGTGATGAAGCATATGAAACATATGAAATGTATTAAAGAATAGGAAAAGCACTAGCCCTTTTAAAATATATAAATATGATAATGAAATACCAAAAATATGGTATTTTTGTATTCATGATCCATTTAGAAGAATACTTTACCCAAAAAAATTTTTCTAAGAATAAATATATAAAATATGTGCAAAATTTTATAAAAGGGGTTCCAAAATAGAAACAAATTATATTTATTGCATTGTATGTAACCCCTAGTATTCATTTTTAAAAAGTATATAATTCACTACTATTTCTAATGAACATGCAAAAAGAGAAAAAATTCTTCAGTCTATTACTTTAAAGGAATTTAATATCTGGCAATAAATAATACATATTATAAGAAAAGGCTGAAATATAGTATCTCCAATTGGAACTTTCATTCTAATTTACTTTACATTTAGAAAAGAATAAATTGGCATTATTAATAGAGTGAATTTATTTACCGCACCCTGCGTTACAATGCATCCTTCCTTTTTTGTAAATTGTTTATATCGATCTTTAGTTTATACACCGCACCCCCCTTAAAATGGCAAATAATAAACATACAAATATATATAAATTTGTAACGCAGAGTGCGGTAAATACTGTACATTATTTCTTATTAATATTATATAATTATGATAGTTATTTAACTAGCTATAAAATTTATACACAGATTAAAATAATTATAGTAAAAAATATTATACAAAAAAAATATAAAAAAAGAAATAAGTTGACTTCTCCTTTATTACTATAAAAGCCTATTATATTAATAGATAGTCTCAAAAAATACTTATACAATATATATAGTGTTTAGCTTTATTAATATTAATAAATTATATAACTTATATAATTTTTTTTGTAAAATAAATAGTTATATAATTTGCATATATGATTACTAAGTAAATTTGTAAAATATATTACCTGTACAATTTATATAAGATAAAAAATATGTAAACTAAATTTTTTAATCTATGAAGTATTTTCCTAAAGTTTAGAAAGTATAATATTATGATTTTAAGGATTTTTAATTTTTAAATACTATTATTATAACTTTGAAAATTTTTATGCAATAATTATCCAATGAGCTTATAGAAATTACAAAAAAAGACCTAAATTATTGGCAAAATAAGTTTGAAAAATATTGAAAAATAATAGTACTTCTGATGATAAAAAGATTTTGAAGTATATCATTTTATTAATGGAAAACTAATAGAATTAAATTATGTGAATAATGAGTTAAGAAAACATTAGGGGAACTCTTTCTGCTGATCGCATAAACTATTTTTTCCCATAGGAATTTTGAAGGAAAATTTTCTGAAAATATGAACTTTTTGTCAAAACAAAACATTTTCAAAGCTCTGCCTGAAAGCGGCGACCTTAAAACAGCTATAAATAGAGCTTTCTACTTTGAACCGGTTAGCCACGTCTTAAGAAAATATAGCTCCTTGAGTTTATTTGAAGAAATTATCGCTCGAACTGTTGAAAAAAGCGTAGGCGATAGCGAACACTTTACCAACTTACTTATAGAACATCATGAGGCCCTCTCAACCTTCAGTGTCAGTAACTTGCAATCTTTATATCACTTTCTCTTTATTTTTTATGAGTCTTTTGACTTTCTCCAAGTCAGCGTTAGTAAAGGATGGAAAATGCTTGCAAAGAATTCGTGAAATAACAGATGACGTCACCAAAATAAATGCCAGACACATCTGAATCTATAGAGGATCAACCGATAGAAATAGAAATTTTAGAAGCGCCAAATACGCCCAAACACCAATCAATAGCTGCAGCACAACAAAAGGAACTAATCAGCATCCTCTCAGCAAAAGCCACTCCTTTTACGCCTAAAGGTAAACAAAAGCAAGTTTCATATGCTGACATGGTTAAACAGGATCTGAAAGATGATGTCAGCAGATCAAACTCACCTTTACCTTCTACAGAAAAAAAAGAGAAAAACTGCGCCTATTTCAAAAGCTAATAATAGCCAAAGTCTTTCTAAAACTAACAAGAAACAACCCGCTACACTTTTACCTAAAACGATTTGTACTGTAATGACTGGATATATGCTCACAAATAAGAATCTTATCTGAGAAATTATGGTTTATGATATCCCTTCCACCTGGTCTCAACTTGATATGCTTAATCATCTTAAAGCTTGGGATTAAGTAGTTGTGATTAAATTTAAATCTTAACAGAAATACGTTACTGTAACAGTTTCGATTGAACTCAATTAAAAGGCAATAAAACTATGGAATGATGGAGCTTGAACAGCTCTACTTAGAAGTTTACCCATACGATAGTTTCTGGCTAATTGGGATCTCAAGCAAAGAAAAGAATAGGAACAATTTCAAGCTGTGATTAAAAGAGTTCCTGCTTCAGTAAACATAGCCCAGATAACTCTGCTCATTCTATTCTTACGCCTTTAGGGTGTAAAGCATTTAAATTAATTCAAGATCAGGGCACCCGCAAGTTAATAACTTTACTATAAATCATGGGCTAACTTGGAGAAGGTCATTGGTAAGCCATTTAGCTTGAACGAATTTACTGGTGATTGAAGACCCTGCTTACTTATAAGATAGGTTACCCTCAGGCCTAAGGTAAAAATCATATATAAAATTCTTTGCAAATCTTACTATAAAAGGAAATTTTATGTTACATTGTTATGATTTTTTTCCTTTTTAGCTAATTAACCAATAGAATTTAAGAAAAAAGTAAGGTAAAAACTATTAGTAAAGGGCCAATTTTCTATGGTGACCTTTATTATAAGTAAGCGAGATCCTGGTGATTGAATGAGATACTTTGCCCCTAACTTGAAGCAAAAAAGTAGACGCTTTCAGAAGATGAATCAAGAAGGTGATTCTAAGGTTCGAACAACTAATACTAACAATCAGTCGAGTAAGAAAACAAAGGTGGCCAAGAAAATCAAGAATATAGATAAGGCTTTGGGTGGTATTGACAAGCTTACTATCTTAGCAGAAATAAGGTTGATGCTTAGAAAACTGGGAGCGTCATGATATAAGTTCAAAAGAATGGTCAAATAATCTTAGTTTTAGGAGTGTAGATGTAGTAGGGTGGCTTTGTTACTGACTGTTTCCTTATTTTTACATTTTATTTTTTTTTGTTTTCGTTTTTGTATGTGGAATTCTTTTTTTTTGTTTTGTTTTTTCCTGCATCTTTTCTTTTAATGCGAAGGTGCATTGCACCAGATTTATTAATGCATTCTCATTGCACTTCGGGAGTGGTTGACCAATCTGCTGTATATTTTGTGGTATAGTTCACCTATATTGTATATTTCTATATGTTATAATTAATAAACAAAATTTTTTTTTAAAAAAAAAAAAAAAAAATTTTGTAAATAATTGATTTTATATGAAAAATAAGCATTTTACTTCTACTTAAATAAAAGTAAAAAAAATCAGTTATATAGATAAATATATACTATAACATACCTAATTACTTTTAAAATATTATATTAGTAAGACTATATAATTATTAAAGATACAAGTTAGTCTAATATGTTAAAATAGTTATTATATTGATAAAAAATATAACTTTGAAAATATTATCAAAATTTTAAATTGTGAAAAATATAAGGATAAATTAATAGAAATACAAAGAATATGTAATTTGCTACTATTAGAATTCCTATACTATATTTATATAAAATTGCTATAAATTGCAAAAGGCGATTATCACTGGTATTAGGTATTATGTAATTTTTAATAATATCTGTTTTTTTACTATG